AACCTATTTTCTTGAGGTGGTCTCTAAATTCAGGTGGGACACACTCCAAGACTTGTTTTAATACTCTTCAGAACATTCACAGTTCAACCCGAACCTGCATAGGAACAATTGATGGTCCATTCCCTAGTTGGCTCCTGGCCTTGTGTATTTTGGCAAATGATACTGAGCTGCTCCACCTTCTCTTTCCACAGATGTAGTCGATTTGTATTCCATCTTGTGAGGTCCCTGTGTGCAGTGGCCATTGGGTCAGTGATAAAAGGTGTTTACAGTAAAGACGTTGTTGGTCTTGCACAATTCTATCCAACTTTGTTTCTATTGCCAAGGCCATATTTTCCAACTTCTGGTCCTTCGTCTCTGTTTCCAACGTTCGCATTCTAATCACCAGCAACTACCAGTGCATCTCAACTGAGTGCTTAATTGGTTTCAGATTGCAGAAGCTGGTAGAGGTCTTCAATGTCTTTAGCTGTAGCCTTAATGGTTGGTATGTAAATTTGAATAACAGCACTAACTGGTCTTCCTGATAGATAGAGCGATGTTATCCTATGACTGACAGCATTTTGTTCCATGCTAGATCTTGAAATATTTGCTATATTGTTTTGTTTTGTTTTTTTGACAGTGAATGTAATGCCAATCCTCTTGAATATGTAATTTCGGGGCTAGTGGACCATCTCTATTTAATTCAAAATAACCCATAGCCATCTCACTAGTGCCTAGGACATCAGTTCCTATGGACTTCAATTCATCTATGGAGTCTTCTGGTTTCCCTACATTCGTACTTAATGGGTTTTGATTACTGGTGGGTGTTTGCATCTGCTCATTCTCATTGTGCCATGCTCCAGCAGCAAATGAAGGTCCCGGATGAATGCCTTGCTGCATCCACATCACTAAGGTCTGCGCTGCTTTGAGGAGGCATCTCTTCCTCAGTCGTATTCTGAGTGCCTTTCAACCTCAGGGCCTCACTTTCCGACTTTATATCTGACACTCTTCCTCCGCCGTTCATCCGGTTTTCCGTGGCTGCTTTGTCCAACGTGGTCTGCCTTTTCCTTCCTCCAATCTGTCGTAGCTGGAAGCCCCACTGAAACCTGTCCCTGCTGATATTTGAGAGGCTGGTGGAATGACTGGCAGCATTACAGCCACACGCCAACCATCACAGTGCGACACCCTGACAGACAGGTGGTGCCAGGTGGTCTTCTCGCCATTTCACAGCTGAGGAGACTGAGGCTCAGCAGGTGCACGTGCCTGTTTAGGGTTACATGCCTAGTGAGAAGCAGAACTGGAATTAGAACACCCATCTGTCTGACTCGTGAATGTGTGTGTCTGTCTGTCTGTGTATCTGTCTGTGTGTCTGTCTGTCTGTCTGACACTCCAGAAGTGGGCATCACCGCAGTGGCCAGTCACCTGTGACTGAGTAAACTGTGGCCCACCCTAAGAATGGACTCCATCCCAGTCCCTGCGGGCTGCATGCAGGAGCCTTAAAAACCTGATTCGGAGTGAACGGGGCCAGTCACAGAAGGCCACCGCACGTGATTCCATTTCGCAGCAATGTCCAGAATAGCCACACCCACAGAGAGAGAAAGCAGGTAGCCATGGGCCTAGAGGAGGGATGACTGGGGAGCCATCACGACAGGCTACAAAGTTTCCGGGGTGATGAACATGCGCTAGGTTGTGGTGGTGTTTGAGCAGTTTTGTGAAGGCCCATGAACCAGTGGCTTGTGCCCTAGACAAAGACGCATGGGATGCTTTGTTCACAGTGATGTAGGTTCTCGGCCTGGCAGAGCCTTCAGTCCGGACCAGCAGGCCAGCACTCTTGCAGTACGTCCTCCGGTTTCGAATGAGAGCTGCTTTGCAGTGTGGGAAGTCTAAGTAGGTCTTTGAGTTCCGAGTGTCAGTCAGAACAAGTGTACACCATTCCTGTTCAGCTGTCCTTTAGTGAGAGGGGAAGGGGGAAAAAAAAACATCAGCCCTGATTGTGTGACGGTGTAGTGATTGCCGCATGGGGCAGTTCAAAGCCGCCATCCGCCATCCGCTCCTAGGGAAAAGACGCCCCCTTAGAGATTGACAGTCTCCCATTGCAAAATGGATTGTTGAAGGTGCAGGTCAGTTAAAATGTATCACCCTATCATTACAATCCACTCAATTTTGTTCTAGTTTTAAATACTTTCTGCTTACTTTTCGATTGAGGATTTTACATGCTGTTTTGTTACTGTCATTAGTTTTTGTTTCTTTCATGTTTTTTTCTGTATATGAAATCCAGGATAGGAAATTCTGTTGAGACGGTAATGACTGTTGGTTCCTTGGGAGTATGGCAGGGGAAGCTGGGGGAAAACGAGGGGCTAATAACGAGGACGCGAAGGAAAAAGGTTCTAAAACAGATTGCGGTGATGATTGTACAATTCTTCTTGGTGTGCTTGAACTATTGAATGGTGTGATATGTAAATTATATGTCAATAAAACTTTCAGAAAAAAATGTTCATGATCAGAAACCCAAAGGGGCATTGTACCCTGCACTAGAGGGTGGCTGTGACTAGCTTGCACTCCAGGTGGACTGCATCTGGCAGTGGCCTGGGTTTGGTTAGTGGAGAGAAAGAAAAGAAACCCCTGGTGGTGGTGTGTGTTAAGCACTAATTGGATTGCTAGCCACACAGTTGGCAGTTCAAACCCACCCACGGGCTGCCCATTGAAGATGAAGCTGTTTGCTCCCTCAAAGATTATCTGCTCCTGAAACCCCATGGGGCAGTTCTACTCTGCCCTACGGGGTTGCCATGAGTCATAATCAACTTCATGGAAATGGTTTGGTTTGGTTTTGTTTTTAGTGCAAAGAAAGGACTGGAAGCCTTTTGGAGTATTTATTTGCAGTATTTATCTGCAATATTGGAGTATTTGGTGCAGCCAGCGTGAAGGCCTTTGTGATGAAGCACCTGCTTTGAGCAGGGGCTGGTTCCCTAGTTTCAAAATGAGGGTCTGTCTAATTCATATCAAAGGGCACAGACTTAGGAGCCACCGCTAAACCAGAAATTCGTCATCCTGGAAATGTATCACTGCAAGGCACCATGGCCGATGCTGGGTGGCCTCGGAAGCTGTGAAAGGACAAAGGGTCAACTGCCCCAGCCTGGGAGGGCATGGTGTGAGAACTGTCGCAGAAGGACAGCCACCTGGCCGGAGTCAGCCCACCCCTCCCACTGATCACCTGAGGTGGTCTTATTAACAACGGAAACAACTTTCAAATGGGTCAGAAGGGAGATCAAACGGTAGTTACATTTTAACTTAACTACATCTGTCACAAAATCTGTCTGATAAGGCTATTTGCACACATCGACTACGGGTCAGAGGGGACCACCAGAGTCTTAATCCATGTGGGGATCCTGCAAATGGATTTTGGGCTTCCACTGTCATCCACAGCCTTCCACAAACAAGGTGTTTAGGAATTAAGCTCTGGTGCTGTTCCCTCCTTTCGCTTGGGTTTTATTATTTACAGTCCTTGGGTAACACAGGCTGGTGGGCTTCGTCCATGTGGACTTAGTTGACGTCTCTCTCTCTCTCTCTGATGATGCTTGTTTCAAGACAAACCTTTAAGACCCCAGACACTCATTGTTCTGACAGCCAGGCACCATCTGGTTTCCTCACCACACTTTGGAATAGCATCCATATCTTCAGCGACTTCTGCATGAGGGTGAGCTTCGGGCAGGGTCCTGTCATAGGAACTAATTGTTCTTAGATTGAGGCCAGAATTAAGTGTGAGCCCCTACCCCCCCAATCCATTTATAGCTATGGTTTATGTATGTGTCAGGCTCACTTTAGAAGCATCATGGCCATTTTGATAGAGAACATTATAAATCATCTCTCTGGGGACATAAGGTACAGCCCATCCCCACAGCTCCCCGATGCTGTAGGTTTCTGAAATACCCTCTTAGATAGAAAGCAGACCGAAAGGGCCAAAGCACCAGAGCCTGGGTGTGCTCCCAAGTCTGAGCGCCCCCAGGGGTTTGGATCCGCATGACAGGTGCCTTTCAGAGTCACGGTAACAACGCCTGCACGTGATCCCACCCTGTGCTCCCACTCGCTCCGCTCCGGAGCGGCACCCCTTATATATATAAGAGACCGTGTCTCTTAGACATCGTCTTTTTTTATCCAGTCTTCCGTGGAATCCCGCCCTCTGGCATTTTTTGTCTTTTGGCCAGCCTATGGGAGGGCATTTCAGTTCTTTACAGACTTTTCCGACCATCATTCATTGTTTCAAACCAGCAGCCTTGCTCCCTGCTGAAGTCTGTGTGTGACAGCAATTCCTACTGGATCCAGAAATGAGCGCACTTTAAATGTGGCCTCCGAAGTCCCCTTACGGGAGGCTGCGAGCGAATGACAGGTTCACCTCTAAGAAGGCTTCTCCGGGTTTCTGGGCAGCCGATGAGCATGTATTGTTGGCTGTCACCCTGGTCCGTTCCCCCTGCAACGTACCCCCTGTAACGCATACAATCTGCGTCTTAGGGTCTGTCCCCATCGCTAGAATGCCCCCCCACCCCCGCCCCCACAAGAGCAGGGATCCCGGTTTGCTGGGAGCTGCGTGCTTGGAACTCATTGCCTGTCTGTTTCTTGCGTGGGTTGGAGGCATCGATGGCTGGCTGGGAATGGCAGACGCCAAGGCTGGGTCCTGTACGCCCAGGGTTGTGGCAGGTGAGGCCATTTCCGTGGGTCAGGGCCCTCCAGGTAGGACGCGCGGGCCTGTCTGGTCAGTAGGGCGCAGTTCGCAGCACGGTGGGCGGGCGGCTACCCTTCGCTCCACCCCCAGGAGGCCAGCC